GCAGTCTGTGATGGGCAGCCCATGGGAACAGGACAGGACTGGGCTAGTGATGCCGTGTTCCTCCTGAGCTCAGGGATGGACTGGAATGTGGTGGGATGCTTTGTGTCTCTCCAGGGCTGGCAGCAGGGATGCCCTCAGTCAGGCAGGGATTCTGGAACAGCAGGGAGCCATGCCATGGCTCCAGCATCAAAATTTGCTGGAGTTGGAATGGCAACAGCACTAATCTTTAAATTAGCCTGTTCATATATTCTCCCTGGGGGCAACAGGAGGGGGGATTTGGGGCAGGGGGACAGCCAGCCCCACTCCAGTCTATCAGACGCCTCCTGGAGCCAAGGTGGTGGCTGGAACATCTCCTCCATTTCTGTCTCTGGAGCCAGAGCCATTCCCATCCCTGCTGGGGGATTGGGAAGGGGGACTGGGAAGGCAGATGACTCCTCCTGTGGTGCTGCAGATAAGCTGTCACATATTTTTTCATTTCTCCAGGAGGATTTTAACCCACCTGGCAGGTTTAACTCTTCTCTGCCAGGCCTTCCCAGGAGCCAGTGCTTGCCCTGAGGCAGGCAGGAGCGTGGGGAGGTGGAGGCAGAAGGGGTTAAGTGTCCACAGGCACCGAGATTTAGCTGGAGAAACCCAGGCATCCCAGCCTAATCCCTGCATCCTTATATCGCATCCCTGCCCGCCTGGTACCGCAGGAGGGATGGTGGTGGCGTGGGTGATGGGCAGCCTCTAATGCTCCTGTAATCTTCCAAATATTTGGAGGGATAACAATTGCAGGAGAGAGGATTTTAACGCTTTCCTGGGGAAGTTTGCTTGGCCATTGCTGCATGGGGAGTTGCCTCCTGGGCTCACCGTCCCTGGTGCCACGTGTTTGGGGTGATGGAGGGGGGTTAATGCTGGTGCTGCTCCCTTTGGGGGGCGGGGGGTGAGGTGGGTTTGGGGTCGTGGGTCTTGACAGAGTTGCAAAGGCTGGCAGCAAACATCTGCAAATCACCCCCCAGGGAACAGATGCTGCAGATAATCCAGCTCAGCCCCAGCAGATTAAAATGTGTGATGAGGGATGGGGAGAGGAAAAGAAGTGCCTGTTCCTCTCCTCCCTTTTCCTCTCGTTGCTCCTACTGCACTCATCCCCAAGGCTTCATGATTTGGTCCCATGGGTTGAGCTGGAGCTGCCCCCTCTCTGTCTCTCCCTCCCCACAAAGAGCTCCAGACACCCCGTAACACCATGCCCCAAGTCGTGTGAGATTGTGGGATGGCGACAGGCTGGGACTTCCAAAAAAAAACCCCAGAAGAGATCTGGAAAGCAGGCACCCACCTCCAGCAGGAAGGAGGGAAGCCAGCAGATGGGAACCCCCTGCAGGTGTCTGCCAGGGAGATGATTACAGGCAGCGGAGCGCGCTCTCAAATATTTATTAGTTTGTCACTGCTGGGAGTTTTATTGCTGGTGTGATTGCAGGACTGGAAATCCCAGCTGGGCAGGGCTCCTTTCCTGCTTTCCCATGCAAAAGCATCTCCCCTGCCTGCTGCTCCTGCGGTCACTGGGCCACCATGTCACCTGGGGTGGCACCAGAGCCTCCGGAGGCGATGGAGCTGCACCACTGGGACAGTGCCTTTTTCTGGGGGGTGTTTTGCAGTTGTTGCTGGGCAGTCATGGCACACAGCAGCAGCAGTTGCTCCTGCACAAGCAGCATGTTCCTCCCCCCAGTGTGGATTTTTTGGGGGCCCCCCGTGAGTGTCGGCAGAGCGAGAGGTTTCCCATGCGGCGGGTGGCCGGGCGTCGGGAGCGGGGATGAAAGGCTGGCTTGATGGCTTATGATGAATGTGCCCAGCATGGTTCTCCTCCCTTTTCTCATCCAAATCCCCCTTCTTCCTATGCCTAAATTCTTCCCCAGTGTGTTTAAATAGCAGCGACCGTTTCATGCTGGAGGAAAACGCCCTGCCCAGCTGCAAATGCTTTTTCCCAGCTAATTTCTGAAAGGAAAAATCACCCTCCCCCTTGATTTGCTCCCATCCGTGAGTCTGGGGAATCTGTGGGGTTGGGGCTCCGTGGCATGGCCCCAGTTGTGAGTCTGCCATGAAGAACCCATCACCCTTTTCCCTGTCTCCTGTTAGAACTGTTTTTTTGGCCCCATAGCTTTCCTGGCCAGAAACAAAAGCTCTCTCAGCTGTCTTGAATTTGCAGGATTTTAACTTTCCCACATGCTCCTGGCTTAAAAGGTTCAGGTGTTTTAGGTTCAAACCTTAAACCCAGCAGGTCTTTGTAGGCCCAAAAGCAGATGTTGGATCTGGCTGGTGACACCATTCTATTCCCCCACCTTCATCACCAAAATCACTGTGCCCACATGGAGAAGAGCCTTAAAGACTCAGGATTTATTTGGGCAGACCCCCTCTTGGAGCAGGGTCTGTATGGGATTTTTGTTACCACCAGGGGTGTCTCAGCCCCAAACATTGTTCTGGGGGCCCAAGTGGCTCTGCTGCAGCCTTCACCCTTCCTGCTGCAGATGATCCCGGTGAGTCACAAATCCAGCATTTTCATCCCCATCCGGCCCTGACTCATCCCCTCCCAGCTCCTCTTGGATGACCTAAAGTCTTGTCACCATCACCAAAGTAGTGATGAGGTGGGAGAAAACACATCCTTGGTGTTGGCTGTTGGAGGAGCTCTCCTCCTGGCCCGTGGTTTTGGCTCAGGTCCATGTGCTCTTCGGGGTGTCACCTCTGCAGGGGAAGATCCTTCCAAAAACCATCTCTGGAGGATACCTGTGCCCATTCCCAGCTGCCAGGCTCAGGTCTGACTGTGCCACAGGGGTGCAGGGAGCATCACGTCAGGGAGGTTTGCACACAAGCCCGTGAGTGAAGTTTTGTTGGCTGCCTCTGTTGCCAGTTTGATTATCTCCTGCCAGCCCCTTTTGCCAGGGAATTTAGAGCCATGGCATCGAAGCGGTTTTTGAAATTAAGCAAAAAAACAGCACACAACGAACAAAACAACCCAGTGGATGAAAAATTGAGTAGCAAAATAAAAAAGGGTGGGGAAAAAGGGGATGTTTGCTGCTGTGACAGGTGAAAGGCTGCTCAGCGGGAGAGGGGAGCAGGAGCAGTGGCCTGAGGTGGTCACAGGGAGCAGCGTGGGATCGTGCAGGGTGGGGGTCACACGCCTTGGCATTCCCTGTCTCCCTGCCTGCCACGGGCCCGGGAAAGTTACAGGTCTGCAAATGAGATGGGGGAGGAAATAACCAGCAGCAGAGAGGTGGGGAAGAGCCAGCCAGAGAGAGAGAGAGAAATTAGCCCGGAGTTTAATTCATTGTTTCCAAAAGAGCAGTTAATGGATTATGACAAATGTCCTACTGCTCTCCCTTAGTGCTGTGTTAAATGGGAATGGAAAGTCAATTTTCCTAAATGGATTTTAAACGACTGACCTCGTGCTTTTTTTTTTTTCCCTCACTGATTTTTGCTCAGGAGGAAGCCTGGTCATTTTGTTTTCTTGATGCATCTGATTATGTTTTTTTTTTCTCTTCCTCCTCCTCCTCACATCTGGGGATTCTGATTCTCTCCCTGCAGTGCTGCTCCTTGCCAAGGGTGATGAAGGGAGTGGGCTCCTTTCTCTTCCCTGCCAGCTCTGGAGATGTTATCGTGGGGCTGGGGATATTTACTGTTTTCCTGCACGCTGCAGTGCCTGGAGTTGAGAATCACAGCTCTGGCTGGGGGAAGAGAGGAGGAGGAAAAGCTCATAACTCCTTTGAGTGTAAAGAAAAGCCTCGAGATGTGACCTGACTGCTAGTGAGATTCCCAGGAACAACAGGTTAAGCAGCAGCATCCCAGTGCACCTGTGTGGGGGTTTTTATTGCTCCTGTGATATTTGGGGTTGATCTTATTGGGCTGGAAATGGGTCTTCTGCATATGATGCTCACCTTCAGTCAGAGCATCAGAGCTTCAGAGCATCCTCCCAAGCTGCTGCTGGGAATCCCGGGCTCCCACTCCTAAGGGATAATTATGTTCCTGTGTGAGCACTGAGCTGCTCACCCCTTTCCAAGATTTTTCTCGGCCTGGCCTGAGCAGACACGAACCTCCAGCTGTTTTTGCATTTAGATGGCTTTTGAAAGCAAACTAGCAGGAATGTGGAGCTCCCCAGGGCACAGCCCCCTGGTTTCTGGGATACTGGGAATCCTGGTGGCACCTTTGGGTGATGGTCTCTGGAGCTGGTTGGACTGGAAGCAATCGCTCACCTGTTGGGTGATGCTGAAATCCAGGTGTTGGCAGGGGGTGAGATCCCAAATGCCGCTCCAGTGAAGGTGTGGATGGCTGAGATTTGTCCTGGGGATATGGACAGCATTCCCAAACGCCCTGCCACCATTGTGCTCAGAGCATGCCCATGCATTCCTCAGGGCTGTGAGGAGGAGGCTTGGGGTGGGGGACACCAGCCCCTTTGGAGCCTCCCTGTGTCCCCATCGCTATCCACAGGCCTGGGTTTGTTTTGCTTTTCCCCCCGCAGTGTCCTCTAGTGAGGCCACCCAGGCTTTGGGCTCAGGGCATTGATGGGGGCCCAGTGCCCAGGTGAAACAGGATTGTTCCCACAGCTCTGGTTTGCTTTCACAGAATTCACAGAATCACTGGGTTGGAGGAGACCTCCAAGATCATCGAGTCCAGCCCAGCCCCAACACCTCACCTAAACCCTGGCACCCATTGCCACATCCAGGCTTTTTTTAAACACATCCAGGGATGGTGACTCCACCACCTGCCTGGGAAGGCCATTCCAGTACTTTATCACTCTTTCCTATAAAACTTTTTCCTAATATCCACCCTATATTTCCCTCGGTGCAGCTTGAGACCGTGTCCCATGGTTCTGTCGGTTGCTGCCTCGCTGGTTTTTCATTTCATGCGCCGGTTTTTGGGCAGCCTCCAGCCTGTTTCTGCTTTCCCGCACATCCTCGGCTGCTGTTGGCACGGGGCGGGGAGGGACAGTGGGGCTGGGGACGCGGGCAGCCGCTGAGCCTCGGTGTGTCCCGCAGGGCTGGAGTACAGCGATGTGCTGCCCGACTCCTTCCCGTCGGCGCCAGCCGAGACGCTGCCACGCTTCCTGCTGGAGCCGCAGGACGCCTACATCGTCAAGAACAAGCCCGTGGAGCTCGTGTGCCGCGCCAACCCCGCCACGCAGATCTACTTCAAGTGCAACGGCGAGTGGGTCAACCAGAACGACCACGTCACCAAGGAGAGCCTGGACGAGGTCACCGGTGAGCAAAGCCACCCTCTGCCTTCCTTCTCTCCAGCCTCTTTTCCCTCTTCCTGCTTTCCAGCCTCTTCTCCCTCTTGCCTCATCCACACTTGTCGCTGTCGAGGCAGGACAGGAATGAAGAGGCTCTGATTCAGAAGGCTGTGAGAGTAAAACTCCGTTTATTCAAAATACACCGCTTTTTTATACAGAGCTTCGTGAGGACCAACTCCATTGGTCCTGAAGTGAAAACAGCCCACAGCATTGGTGCAGAGTGCTTGATGCACAGTGATAGAACGTAACTATAAACAATGTGAAAAACAAGAGAGATAAAGAATTATTTACATTCTTTCCCAGCTCTTTCCCAGGCTTCTGCCTGGCTAGAAATTCTCAGTTTCTTTCTTTGACTGAATCTGAAACCCACACACACTGCTGGTTGTTCTCCTCCAGCCAGACCATTGGTGAAAGCACCACCATGGTGCTGTGGTCACCACACCCCCCAGAAGCTTGGGGAAGTCACCCTGCCTGATTATCTTGCTCTTACTTTGTGCAGGACTTGGGGCTCTTACAAGGGATTTTGAAGGCAGTATGTTTAAATCTGATTAAAAAAAAAAAAAAAAAAAAAAAGGGACTACATTTCTACAAAATGCCTAATCAACACATAGGAGTCATTGCCAGGAGGGGTGGCAAAGGCTGGCAGCTTATGCAGGTTCGCAGAGGGATTAAGTGTTTAATGGGTAATGAGAGCAATTGCAGGTAGGATTTGAAATGCCTGTTGATGGCAAATGAGCTCTTTTCTGCCTCAGAGGATAAGTCAGCCTCTGGCTGCCTGGAACAGGGTGAGAAGGTGGCTTAGGCATTTTAGGGGGGGTCTTACTCCATGGGATTGGGCTCTGCAGAGCTGCTCGGTCCATGCCTTGAAACATCCTGGCCTGAGAACAAGGTATGTGGGGTTGGATAAATCACGTAATCAAGTAGATTTGTAAAATTGGGGTGCTTTAGCTCGGCATGCACCTTTTCTGCACCAGTTTAGTGGCTGATCAGGAGTGGAGTGAAACAGTCACATTTCCCCTGTAAGATCTGTCCTCTGCAAATCCCTGCACATGTGGCATCTGGAGGGCTTTAAATTAAGGCAGCCTTTTGAATTGCAGTGGTGTTGCCCTTAGAAGGCAGGCTGGGCTTAGAGGAGAGACTTCACCAGCCTCTGGGAGCCACCAGTATTCTAACAGAATCTCCTGTTGTCCCTGCGATTTTTCCCACCCTTGCCCTTCCATGGAGTCTCTTACTCTCCACCCTGTCGTAGCTATGAGCCAGTCTGTGCTCGGGTGCATCCCTGAACCTGCTCTGGAAAGGGAAGATCCTTTCTCTCCTCTGCAGCTTTTTGAGCCTTTCCCCCTAAAGCTGCTTTAGCCATTCATGGGGTGTTTTTCCTCCAGAGAAAGAATAGTCAGAGATACCCAGGCAGGCTATCCCTTTGCTTCTCTGGCTGACAGGAGCAGGTGACACTCTTTTTCTCTCTTTCTGGGTGCATCTCCACCTCCCAGCTCTTGCAGAGGCCAGATTTGAAACCCTCAGCACTGTGAGGCAGAGTCAGTGCTGGTCAGTGACCGAGCAGCCTTTGCCAAGGGGTTTTTAATTTATTTATAACATCTGGCCACACTGGGTTGAGCTGAAGGCCTGTGTGCCCCACACGCAGCAGTGGAGGATGCTTAGGGGAAGATCATGGAACCAGGACAAGGAGGGAGCACTGGAGCTGCCCTGTCAGCCTCCCAGCTTTCCACCATTCGCCACCAGGCACTCACAGCTCTGGTGGCAACGTCTGAGCAGTGTGGTCCAGCCCTGGGTGGAATCCCCCCTTGCTAATTTGTCTAATTGCTGTTAGGACTCATTTCTCTGTGCAGTGTGGAAAGAAACACTCATAGAAAAAGAAACACTTTCATAGAATTGTGGAATGGTTTGGGTTGAAAAGGACCTCAAAGATGATCTAGTCCAACCCCCTGCCATGGGCAAGGACACTCTCCACTAGCCCAGGTCGTTCCAAGCCCTGTCCAGCCTGGCCTGCAACACTCCCAGGGATGGGGCATCCAGCTGGGCACCCTGTTGCTGTAGGAACTCACTGCCTTTGGTCCAGCATCTCCCTCTCAGATTCCAGTCTGCTGTGTGCCAGCAATTTGGGGAGGAAGCAGCACACACCTTCTTCATCCAGGCTTCAAAGATGGCATTGCTGCTTTCAGGGAGTGAAGCGACGGCGCCTGCAGGTGATGTGGTGCATGTTAAAGCTGCTGGTGTGGGCATCTCTGCCTGGCAGCCTCCCTTGGGAAAAGGCAGCTGGAACCAAAGTGGTTTAAGGTGGTAAAAGATCTGCATTTGCAGTGCCTGGCATTGTTCAGGAAAGCTGCTGGAAAGGGCACGGGGAGAGCCGGGCACAAAGGCACGGGTTAACACGGTTAGTTTTCAAGTGGCCTTGGTTAAAAGCTTGGAAAAAGGGACCTTTAAGAAGAAGGGGAGAAAAAAAAAGGAACTTTTAAGATGACGTGTCTTGAATGAGCCTGGCTCAGTAATGCTCTGACTGCATCTGATCCAAAACATTTCATGCGGAAGAAAGCAAAAATAGGCCAAGTCAGAGAGGATAATTCAGCTGGGTGAGGAGGGCTGGGCAGGGAGAGCAGCTGTGTTTGGTGCCTGGAAGCCCTCAGGAAGGCACTCCTGTGTGCCATGAGCTTGCTCTTCAGTTTTGGGTGGTCACTGATTGCAGTGGGGACAGAGGTAGGGCATTTGCAGGATTCTTCCCACTTTTCCTGGGTGCTCATCCAGAGCACCCAGATAGACAAGATGGATTGGAGCCATATCTGTATTCTGAGTCTTCTTAAAATCCCAAAAGTGCTTGGCCCAAATACCTTTGCTTTTGGGGTTTTCTTGTTGTGGTTTTTTTTTTTTTTTTCCTCCTGAATAGTGACAAAATAAATTGTATTTCCTTGTCGGTTCTTCTGCAGGAAGGTGGCAGGGAGACAGTAATTGCTCCTCACGGCATTGGGAGTGAGCTGTAACAAAATTACAGCTGGGGAGCGTGCGGCTCTCGATCACTGAAAAATTGAGGCCTTTTAAAAAAAAAAAAAAAAAAAAAAAAAAAACACAAAAAAAAAACCACCACCAAAACGGGTAGGTATTGCTTAAAATAAGGAAAAGTAAGGCCCAAGTCCCTGCCACCCTTGGTGGTGATCACTGATGCTCCTGCAGTCCAGGGGATCACGTCCTGGTTGTGGTGGTGTCACCTTTGCCATTGCCCCCCTGCCATGGCCAGGCTGTTTTCTTTAACGTTTTATTTGTCTTGTTGTATTTGTATTTGAGTGGCACAGACAGGAGCGGTTTTTCCCCACAACAAAGCCTGGGGGAAGCATCCTTCAAACCCTCGTGGGTGGGAAGGGGTCTGGACATGTTGGTGATGTGGGAGAGAGCTGGTGGAGGAGGGTGATGCCTTGAGAAATGGGGAAGAGATTCTGGTCCTGCTCAGCTGGACTGGGGGGAAAAAGGGACACTTCCACATGATCCACTGCCCTGGCTTCATCCCCAAACCATCCTTCAGAGGGAACAGTCTCCCTGATTTGTGAGGTGCCAACCCCCAGAAGAAAAGCCTCCAAGCCCTCTGTCCTTTGCACACGCACCCTCTGGGGTGCTGCCTCAGTTTCCCTGCTCCTGGCCGCCCTGCCCATGGGATGGGTGCCTCTGTCCCCTTGCAGGGCTGCTGGTGCGGGAGGTGCAGATCGAGGTGTCGCGGCAGCAGGTGGAGGAGCTGTTTGGCCTGGAGGATTACTGGTGCCAGTGCGTGGCATGGAGCTCGGCGGGCACCACCAAGAGCCGCCGTGCCTACGTCCGCATCGCCTGTAAGTGCTGCTCCTCGTGCCCAGGGCTTGGCTTGTGTGTTTGTCACCTTCTGTGCTGCTTCAGTGGGTGGGTCTGGGCTCCATAGCAGGGGATGGTGGCTCTCTGCACAGAGCAGGGAGACAAAACAATTCCTGCTCCAGCTGGGCACCAAGGACAGATGATCCAAACCTCAGCCCAGGAGCACAAACACCGTGGGCTGGAGAGAGAAAAACAAGCAGGATGGGACTGCCTGGGCTGAAGCTGGACTTGGGCAATGAACTCCAAGGTGCCAATGGAGCAGAACTGATCCCAGGGAGAGACCCCGTGAGCAGGTGTCTATTTTGTGACCATTTTTGGTCCATTTTGGTTCATCTTGGGTGCAGCCCTGGCTGGGTTCTTGTGCTGCCCAAGGTGGGAGATCCTTTTAATAAATCCCTGCTTTATTCTGTGACTCTGTCTGGCTCTGTTCCAGGCCAGCCTTCACAAGGCATCACTCCCATCTCCACTTTCTGATCAGTTTGGGGTGACCCATCCTCACTGGATGACCCTGGTTCTCTCTCTCCACCCTAGCTGTAGCTTTGTTTCTGAGTCTCCACCCCCACCTGCCGGGGCGGTGGCACTACCAGGGTTAGCGCCGCAGTGCCCAGCAGCGTGCTCAGCGCTTCCCAGGGTTTTATTATCCATAATAACCCACGGATGGCACCTTGCACGCTGAGCAGCGCCGCGTCCTGCCAGTCCCCGCTGTCCCACGTCACTGCCCTGAGCTGCTGCTCAGGTGTCAGCCTGATCAAAGGCGAGTTAGTCAGGCTGGGCCCGCCTGAATTTGCTCGATGTGCAAATGAGACGATGGTGGAGCTGCAGGAGGACAACCAGGCTTCCCCAGTCCCAAATAGAGTTTGGTGTTAGAGGGGTACTAATCCAACATGTTACCCAAAACAGAGTGATTGTTCAGCTACACTGCTGAAGGGTTATGCTGGCAAAACCACAGACTCAGAGAAACATAGAATCACAGAAAGTTTTGGGCTGGAAGGGACCTTAAAACTCACCTCATTCCCAACACCTTGCCATGGGGACTGACACCCTCCTCTAGAGCAGCTCCAAACCCCCTCGAGCCTGGCACTGAACACTTCTGTGGTGGTTTTGTGGTGGTTTTTCGGAGCAGAGAGTTCAGGAGCCACATGGAGAGGTCTGGGAGCTGCAGCAGAGGATTGCAGCACCATCTAGTGATGCTCCTGCTCCTTCCCAGCCTCTGGAGCAGGACACTGCTGTGTCTCCCACATCCCGAGGGCCTCTGCTGGGAGGGATGAAGAAACGGTGGATAAGGTGAGGTTAGCCCCTAAAAGAAAAGACAGGATGGGGTGTAAGCTTGCAAGCACATGAATGAGGAAATGTATAATCCACCATGTGCTGCCCCAGATCAATCCTGGAAAATCATGGTTCTTCAGCTCCTTCCTCCCAGGGCACGTTTTGCCCTGACTCTGTGCCAGAGGGAATTCCTGACTTGAGGGTGCTTGGTGCTGAGGTGCTTACCGAAGCTGTGGAGGCTGCCCTGTCCCTGCTGCAGGCTGATAACCCCTGGCTTCTCCTTCCCCTTCCAGACCTACGGAAGAACTTTGATCAGGAGCCGCTGGGCAAGGAGGTCCCGCTGGAGCAGGAGGTTCTGCTGCAGTGCCGCCCACCCGAGGGGGTCCCACAGGCTGAGGTGAGTGGCTCCTGAAGGAGTGCAGGGTGGGGAACCCCATCCCTTCCAACCCCTCCCAGATGATCTCCTGTCAGCTCTCATTCAGAGCAATCGTTTATTTTGGGCAGCACACTTCTCCCACACTTCCTGAGGTGCCTCAGAGGGAAGATCTGACAAGGAGGCATGCAGGGAGTTGTCTGGATGGGAGCAGTCACCAGTGGGAGCTGAGGGCTGGGAAAATCAGTCTGGATGGGTTTTCCTACCATGGTAGTGGAGCTTTCCTTGCCCACAGCTCTGTCAGCTGCTGGGAGCTGTGTGTTGGAGGGAGCCACAGTGCCTCATCCTCAGCCAAAACACCAGTAATGTGCCCCAGTCAGGCCTGGTTTGGCCCAGTTTTCAGGAGAAATAAAGCCAGTGAGAGGCGAGGTTGTCCAGTCAGTGGTTAAAGTGCTGAGGACATCTTTGGCTTAATCCCCATCCCTTCCTTTCCTGCCAGGTGGAGTGGCTGAGGAACGAGGACGTCATCGATCCCAGCCAGGACACCAACTTCCTGATCACCATTGATCACAACCTCATCATCAAGCAGGCCCGGCTGCTGGACACTGCTAATTACACCTGCATGGCCAAGAACATCGTGGCCAAGCGCCGGAGCACCACGGCCGCTGTCATCGTCTACGGTACCGGCCCTGCTCCGGGAAGGGGACCTTTGCTGGCTGTGTCCCCAAGCCAGGAGGGATTATGGGCACCTCCTGGGAGGGGTAGGAGTGAATTAGGGCATGGTGATAGGTGATAACCAGTATCTGCAGAACAGGAGCCTCTAATGGCTTCCAGAGGCAGTAAAGAGAGGTTTGAGGTGAAGGGGTGGTGGTGTTTCTGAGCATTCTCAGCTGGGTAGGAGGGTGGACGGATCCAGGCGGATTGCTCTGACTCTCAAAGCAGCTGGAAGGCTGTATTTGGTTGAACTTTGCTATGAAATCAAAGATCTCCTCAGGGCCAGACACAAAAATACTTGCCAAGTGGAAAAAGGACCCCAGCAGTCTTGAGCGTCTTGGGCGTGGGGTGGTGGCACAAGAGGAAGTTTCGTGGTTTGCTGTTCATGAGGCTGAGCTGTAACAAGGGGTCACCAAGGTGTAAGAACTCGAGGTTTAGCTGGTGGGTTGGGCTCCAGAGCTGACTCTGCCCATCTCCTCTGCAGTGAATGGTGGCTGGTCCACCTGGTCCGAGTGGTCTCCGTGCAACAACCGCTGTGGCCGGGGCTGGCAGAAGCGCACCCGGACCTGCACCAACCCCGCGCCCCTCAACGGCGGCTCCTTCTGCGACGGGCAGCCCTTCCAGAAAATCACCTGCACCACCCTCTGCCCAGGTAAGGAGGGCTGCACCCCAGGCTGTGGGTGGGATTGTTGGGGTTGTTCAGCCTGGACAAGAGAAGGCTCTGAGGTGACCTAATTGCAGCCCTCCAGTACCTCAAGGGAGCCTACAAGAAACATGGAGAGAGATTGTTTACAGGGGCCTGGAGTGGCAACACAACAGAGAAGGGCTTTTCACACAGACAGAGGGCAGGATTAGACGGGATATTGGCAAGAAATTCTTCCCTGTGAGGGTGAAGACCCTGCCCAGAGCAGCTGTGGCTGCGCCTGGATCCCTGGCAGTGCCCAAGGCCAGGTTGAATGAGGCTTGGAGCAGCCTGGGACAGTGGAAGGTGCCACTGCCCATGGCAGGGGGCTGGGACAGGCTGGTCTTAAGGAGCAGTGGGATAACGCTCCCCGGCGTGGGAAGGTTTACTGACGTGTGTCGGGTGCCGCAGTGGACGGCGCGTGGACGGAGTGGAGCAAGTGGTCAGCGTGCAGCACCGAGTGCACCCACTGGCGCAGCCGCGAGTGCGCAGCCCCCGCGCCCCGCAACGGCGGCAAGGACTGCAGCGGCGTGCTGCTGGACTCCAAAAACTGCACCGACGGCCTCTGCCTGCACAGTGAGTACCCAGGAGGGTGGCCACGGGCGTGGGGAGTGCCACAGGAGGTGCCACTCTGGCCGTGGTGCTCTGGCGTTCAGCCACACTCACTTTGTTGGCTGTGCCACCAAGCTGGTGGAGCAGCCGCGGCCACCTGAGTTTTAGGTGGTGTCTTTAAAAAGGTGTTCTCCAGCAGACTCACCCCTTCCAGAGTTATTTCTTACCTGGAGAGAGAGATATTGGGGATTTTGGGGGATCTAAATGTGCCGCTGGCATTGAGGCCCCCGTCCCATCCCGCCCCTGTAGGTTTGGGGTCTCTGCTGAAATAAAACTGGTTGTGGGTGGACAGGGCAACAGGAGGGATTTCTCAGCCACACCATAAAAACACCTTCCCTGCATCACTGCTGGGAGTCCTGGAGGTGTGTTTTTGAGGAACTAAATCCATAATGATGGTAATGGTGCTGCTGCCTGTGAGTGGGCGTGCTGAAGGCAGCCAATGCTGCCACCTGCTGCTGTGTGACACCACTTCACTTCCTGGGCATGGGGATGTCCTTGTCACCATGCTCTTACCTGGGTTTTGGAACGCCCCAGGGAATGGTGTTGATTTCCCACACCCCCCTCGGGCTGGCTTACACCCACTTTCTGTTTCATCTCATCCCCATCATCACCTTCACCTTTTTCTTTTCTAACTTTGTTTTTCCTAACAGATAAAAGAATTCTAAACGAGCCCAAAAGCCACCGTAAGTGCTCATTTCATGGCCATTTTTTTTTTTTTCGTTTGTTCCTGTGGTTTTGTTCTGTTGAATCCATGGCAGGGATTCCCTGGCAGCTGGCTGAGGAAAGGGTGGGAAGATGGAACAGCTAAAGCCCACTCTAAAAGTCCTGTGGGCTCCTCAGGGTTGTCTCTGTTAGGATCTGAGGGTTGCTCACAGCTTCATGAACCTGAGCTGCACAAACCTAATGTTTCCAGGACTCTTGGTGCTCAGGTGAAGTTTGCACGAGCTGTGGGTAGGTGTCCCAAAGGTCTGAGGTCTTCACCTCCATCTCATTCTCTGGCATTGCTCTTGACTTCCCGCTCTTAGAGAACACTTCCATCCTCTCGCCAGCCTTTCCAGCAGGCCCAGGGCACGTCCTTCCACCCATGCCTGAGTCAGTGGTGGGACTGGGGAGCGATGGTGGGTGTTGATGTGCTTTTCTGCCGCCCCTTTTTTCACCCCAGTGTCTTTAATCCCTCTCAGTGCTGGAGGCCACGGGCGATGTGGCCCTGTATGCTGGGCTGGTGGTAGCCATTTTCGTCTTCATCGTGATCCTCATGGCTGTGGGGGTGGTGGTGTACCGGCGGAGACGCCGGGACTTCGACACGGACATCACGGACTCCTCGGCCGCGCTCACCGGGGGGTTTCACCCTGTCAACTTCAAGACGTCCCGGCATGGTAAGAGCCACAGAGGTTCTCCCCAGCCTTTAGTTCCAGCAAAAAGAGAGCCACAGGAGAGGGTGGATCCTCAGGGAATTACTGATTTTTGGAAGCTGAAAGCTTTGTGGAAGCGGTCAGGTGCTGATGGTGGGAATCAGGGCAGCTCGGTCTGGTGCCCCGTGGCAGGGGTTTGGAATGAGATGGTTTTGAAGGTCCCATCCAACCCAAACCATTCAGGGATGCCTTCCACTCAAGCAGTACTTCTCCATGCCCATGTTTGCACTGCTGTCTTCTGTCGGAATCTGAGGTATTGATGATTCTGAGACTGTAAAAAGTCTCTGTCTTTCTGCCCTGTTGCTAAAGAAGAAGTCATAATTGGTCTGTGCTGGTTTCAAGGTTGTTTATTCTGTTTAACATGTTCTGCTGCCCTGCCGCAGCTCTGTCCTGCAGGGCAGTGTGTGGAGTGTTACAAACATTAAATACCAGAAACTCCCTGGGCTGGGTTTACAATAATGTGCCAATATCTGTCACCTACGTTGAACAGTGTGTCCCCAGCCTAAACCAACAGAAAAATGCCAACACCACAGTGAAACATGGAGGGCATGAAGAAGGAGAAAAAGGACAAGACACATCCAATTTCCTCTATCTTGTCCCCTTTGAACCCCTAATCTAGAATCCTAAAATTTTACTTTTGCACCCGTGCCACACTTAATTATTACTTATATCAAACACTCAGAGCTGGTAATTCATCCTGTAAGACTGAAAACTCTTTTCCATGGACAGAGATCACAGACAGTGTCTCTGGGGGCTCTGTCCAGGGGAGTTCTGACCCCCTGCCAGGGTCCCAGACCTGCCAGGGCAGCCAGAAGGAAGCCCTGGATTCCCACAGTCTTCACCCCAGCTGTGTTTGCTGCTCCTGCAGACAACCCTCAGCTGCTGCACCCGTCCGTGCAGCCGGACCTGACGGCCAGCGCGGGCATGTACCGCGGCCCCATGTACGCCCTGCAGGACTCCTCCGACAAGATCCCCATGACCAACTCCCCGCTGCTGGACCCCCTGCCCAGCCTCAAGATCAAGGTCTACAACTCCTCCACCACCTCCTCCTCGCCGGGGCTGCACGACGGCACCGACCTGCTGGGGGGGGTCCCTGCCACCGGCACCTACCCGGGGGACACGGCCAGGGACGGGCACTTGGCCAGCGTGCGGAGCAAAGGGCCGGGCTCCCAGCACCTCCTCAGCCTGCCCCGGGAGCATGGCCACAGCGCCAGCGGCACATTCGGCCACCTGGGGGGGAGGCTCACCGTGCCAGGCACAGGTAAGCCGCAGGCTGGGACCGTGTGGCTGCCGAACCATCATCTTGTCCCTGCGGCCCTTTGCCATCCCAAACGTGGCTCGGGGAAGGAAGGCAGAAAGCCATTCCCAAGCCAGACATCTCAGGCTAGAGGTTACAGCCTCCTTGGGGTCTTTCCCTGCCATTGATCCAGGGCCAGCGCCTTGCAAAAAAAACCAAATTAGGATTTTCCTTCCTAGTGAAGCTCATCCCTGCAAGCAGAGCAGCCTTGGGACAGCCCAGAGAAGCTGTGGCTGCCCCATCCCCAGAAGTATGAAAGGCCAAGATGGACAAGGCTTGGAGCAGCCTGGCACAGTGGAAGGTGTCCCTGCCCAAGGCCGGGGTGCTGGAACTTGGTGATCTTTAAGGTCCCTTCCAACCCAAAGCATTCCATGATTCTGTCATCTGGAGGTGTTCCTCTCTGTGCTGCCCTGCCTCTCTGATCTTCTTATGCTCTCTGGCTGGGGTGGAGGGTGGTTTCTCCCTGATTCCCACTGTGCCCGTGGCTGACACTTGTGTGTGCCATTCCAGGGGTGAGCCTGCTGGTGCCCCACGGGGCCATCCCCCAGGGGAAGTTCTACGAGATGTACCTGGTGCTCAACAAGGCTGAAACCGCCCTGTAAGTCACCCCGCTGGCCACCCCCTCCTCGTTGGTCCCCGCAGCATTCCCTGTCCAACCTGTGTGCCTGTCCCTCCCCAGGCTGCCCTCTGAGGGCACACAGACTGTGCTGAGCCCTGCAGTGACCTGCGGGCCCACGGGCCTGCTCCTGTGCCGCCCTGTCGTCCTGACCATTCCCCACTGCGCCGACGTCAGCTCCTCGGATTGGATCTACCAGCTGAAAACACAGTCCCACCAGGGCAACTGGGAGGTAAGGGGGCACCCCAGGCCCTGCGGCCAGCAGAGACCCCGAGGGGCACAACCCCTCGGGTGACAGGCTGACCCCCATCTTGCTGTCTCTGTAGGAAGTTGTGACCCTGGATGAGGAGACCCTCAACACTCCCTGCTACTGCCAGCTGGAAGCCAAGTCCTGCCACATCCTGCTGGACCAGCTTGGCACCTATGTCTTTGTGGGGGAGTCCTACTCCAGGTCAGCCATCAAGAGGCTCCAGCTGGCCATCTTTGCCCCCAGCGTCTGCACCTCCCTGGAGTACAGCCTCAAGGTCTACTGCTTGGAGGACACGCCAGATGCTCTGAAGGTGAATACGCCCTTCCCAAAGCTGTTTGTGCTGGCAGCAGGATGCTGCTTGGTGCCTCGCAGGATGGCCTGGCCCTGGGGAGCAACAACCTGATGCAACTGCCTGCAAAGTGACCACAGTGAAATAAGGAGGTGTTTACTGCTTTGCCTGTCCTTCCTCGTCCTCTGCCAAGGAAACAGGGAGGGTGCTTGCTGTGTAGCTCCTTTGCTGGGACCCCTCCTGCAGGCATTACACGAGAGGTTTGGCTGCTGATGGGCAGGTTTTTTATAGATCCTGCATGGATCCGTGCCTTTGCCTGCCCTGGAACGGTTTTGTGGCATAGATAACATTCAGTGCATCACAGGAAGCTGGAGTTTGGATGCTTTGGCTACCTGGAGCCACCAGTCCTGGGCTGTTTGATTCCCTGTGACTTGTCCAGTGGATCCTGTTGGGATGGATATGGTGCCTCTAGGTGGGGATGTAGGCAGGGCTCTGGCTTCTGGATAGTCTTTTTTTCCTAAAAGCTGCTGGTGTGATGAAGGGATGGTGTTAAAAGCAGACAGAGTGGCACCCTTCAAGGGAGTGCCTGACCCTTGTGTTGAAGCTTTGTGTTCTCCAAGGAGTATGGAGGCATTTATGGATGCTCACATTAGAAAATTGAAGTTTTAGGTGGGGCTGGTGTACGAGATGAACTGGCAAGTTCTGTTGGGGTGGCAAAACCTATTCTCCATGGGCTTGAGGCTGCTGCTGACTCCTCTTGGCAAGTTTTCTCCCCACTCCATCCTGGCTTTGGGCGTGGAGGTGGGCAGAGGAGAAGCCCCTGCTCTTCTCCTGCATCTCACCCTGCCTGTCCTGGTGCCCACAGGAGGTGCTGGAGCTGGAGAGGACACTGGGGGGGTACCTGCTGGAGGAGCCCAAGCCCCTGCCCTTCAAGGACAGCTACCACAACCTGCGCCTCTCCATCCACGACATCCCCCACGCGCTGTGGAGGAGCAAACTGCTGGCCAAGTACCAGGTGAGGGGCTGACGTGGGGGCAGCTGGGCTTGCAGGCTGGGAGCACCATCTCCAGCCAGGCACCACAGGGCTGTGGTTCTGAGTTGTCTCCCAGAGGGACAGAGGAGGAAGGGGAGCAGTGTTCTGCTCTGTTTGGTGGGATGCTCTCTGCGAGGTCCTGCTGCCCCACCTCATCCCTCGTGGGGGTGGCTGGAGGAGGTGGGAGCTGCTGGAGCCTTGGCTGAGCCCGTGTGTTGGTGGCCCACAGGAAATCCCCTTCTACCACATCTGGAGCGGCAGCCAGCGGGCGCTGCACTGCACCTTCACGCTGGAGAGGTACAGCCAGGCCTCCAGCGAGCTCACCTGCAAGATCTGCGTCCGGCAGGTGGAAGGGGAAGGGCAGATCTTCCAGCTCCACGTCACGCTGGGAGAGGTGAGCAGAGGGGAGGTGGGGGCACAGCTGGGGACGCGCTGGGACATCTCAGCAATGTCTCACCCTGTCCTTCCTCCTCCAGCACGGCAGCTCCTCCGACACCCTCCGCTCCCACCACAGCGGTGCCACCGCCTCCACCACCACCCAGGTGGGACCCTACGCCTTCAAAATCCCCCTCTCCATCCGGCAGAAGATCTGCAACAGCCTGGATGCTCCCAACTCCAGGGGGAACGACTGGAGACTTCTCGCCCAGAAGCTTTCCATGGACCGGTGGGTCTCCCCAGGCCTTGCTTTCCCTTCCTGTGCCCCCAGCAGGGAGGCTTCGCTCTGTGCTCCCTGTCAGCTGTAGGCATCCAGCGGGGTTGTGTCCAGCTGCATAGGTCCATCCGTAAATGGGGGTATAGCTCTGCACAGTTATATCCATCTCTATCCTTGGATATGATTTTAAATTTTAAAAGAGGAGAGTTTTAGATGAGATACTGGGAAGAAATTCTTCCCCTGGGGGTGGTGAGGCCCTGGCACAGGGTGCCCAGAGAAGTTGTGGCTGCCCTATCCCTGGAAGTGTTCAAATCCAGTTTGGACAGGGCTTGGAGCACCCTGGGATAAAGGAAGGTGTCCCTGCCCACAGCAGGGGTGTTGGAACTAGATGATCTTGAAGGTCCCTTCTGACCCAAACAATTCTGGCATCCATCTGTGCCACAGTGCCGTGTCTCCTGTCACTTTGAACGGCCCTTGTTTATTTGGGACAATGGCTGTGCCATTCCCACCTGGTTTCACCCCAGGACCAAAGGGAGAAAGGGCAATTTCAGCAAAGCAAAGCTTATGTTGCTTTTGCATGAATACCAACCCTGTCTAAAAACTGCAGACGGTCTCTCGAGGGCGCTGGCATTTGCATTACAGCATTTCCATCAAAGTTCACATTCCAAACAGGTCCAGCATCCTCCCTCCTGCCATCTCCAAAGGGCACCACAGCAGCCCAGCCCTACTCTGCTTCTCCCTTGCAGGTATCTGAACTACTTTGCCACCAAAGCCAGCCCCACCGGGGTGCTCCTGGACTTGTGGGAAGCCGAGCACCAGGACGACGGCGATCTCAACACCCTGGCCAGTGCCTTAGAGGAGATGGGCAAGAGCGAGATGCTGGTGGTCATGGCCACGGAGGGAGACTGCTGATGGTGCTCCCCACGGCTGGGGGGCCAGGAGGACGAAACAGGGGGTGAGGAAAGGTCCTCCCCCCATGGCAGGGGAGGCACATCCGTCCTGAGCGGGGAGGGGCCGCGGCCGGCACCTCTCCCGATCACTGTCAGCCTTAGAGACCCATCCTCAGCGTTTACAAGCAATTCAAGTGTTACACAGCATTCCTCCTCCTCCTCCTCATGGCACGGGGAGGAATTAGGGCTTCTCGAGTCGGGATGGGGGCTTTCCTTTTCCTTCTTCTTTTTGGGTTCCCTTCCTCTTCCTTTAATAGCATTTCTGCGTTGAAGAGATGAATACAATCCAGGCTTAACTTCTGTCAAAGGCTTCAGGCAGCTTAACAAGGCAAGTAGGAAAGAAAAAAAGGAAAAAAAAAAAAGTTTCTTAGGAAAAAAAAAAAAAAAAAAAAAAAAAAAAAAAAAAATGTAAATTAAAAAAAAAAAAAAAAAAAAAAGAAAAAAGGAAAAAAAAAAAGATTTATAAATCTTTTTTTTTTTGGTGTGTGAGAGCAAGAGCGTCGCTGTGGTCAGGGTGGCAGAGAGAGAGATTTCAATGGACACACTTTTGTAGGGAAAAGCGTGTGATCCAAGTTGAGCAAAATGTGTTTACATGTCCTGGGACCCCCAAGGGGTCTGGAGGGTGAAGTGCCTCTCCACCCCTCTGGTTCAGGGCCAGCTGAGACCCTTCCCAAGGCTTTTGTCCTTGCAAACTCCCTTTTCCCTGGCAGTGGGAATGATGGGTCCCACTCCACCTGCGAGGAGGGATGAGGGATGCTGCCCTGTATTTGGGGTTCAGGGTGGAGAGAGTGCATCCAGATATGGGTATTTTTAATGAATTCTTCCCTGGCATGGTTTGGGGGAGCTTTTTAGGATGACTACGCCTTCACTTACGTAACTTCAGTACAAACCAAAGATTTCAGTCCTGCGCCAACCTCCGGACTCGAGGCTAAATGGGGGGGTGTTGTAAACCCAGTAGGATTTTGCAGTGAGCACCCCAAACCTGGGCTTGGGGCTCAGGGGGAGGTGATGAGCGGGTGTGGGGGAGTCAGGGGAGAGCAGGGGCTGGCAGGCTGGGATGTGGCCACTTCAAACTGCATCCACTTCAGGTCCCTGCGCTCCTGCCTGGATTTTGATGCAGTATTTCAGCACGGATTCAGGGAGGGATACGCTGGTATTCCCAAGCTGCCAACCAGGCTGAGCATTTTCACATAAGGGACAGCATGGTAAGCAGTGCTCAGGTTTCCATCCCTCACTTCAGCTCCTGTTTTTCCCTGGAATAGGCTTTTTATAACGATGGAAAAGCTGTGGGGTGAGTGGAAAGTAATCAAGTTGTAGGCAGAACAACGTTCCTCACACAGATACGGTGATGAAGGTAAAACATTTAGGTTGTCTGCAGGTAGAAATAGTTACTGAGTGCTGTATCTTAGAAGCTTGTCTGTTAAAAAAAAAAAAAAAATAGGAAGGGGGTGGTAAGCTCAGGATTAGAGTAGGTTACACGGCCAGGCTGTGGATTCTCCATCAGTGGAAGTATTGGGAGCATGTCCTGCTCTGGGCTGCAGAGCCCTGGATCGGTGTCGTGGAGTGCCTGTGTCACCCCACAAAGTGCTGGGCACAGGAGCACACTCAGGGAGCCTGGAGAGCGTCACCTGCACAGGGCAGCTCAGGAGGAGCTTTCAGGATTGCTGGGACGTGGGAGGATTCCTGTGGGCAGCTCCTGAGGCACTGCTGGAAAGCAGAGTTCCTGACCACAGCTCCCTGCTGTGCCTCAGGGTCCCTGGAGTTCACTTCTTGCTGGGTTTTCAAGGCTGTGGGAGAGAAGGGATTTTTTCCTCTTGTGCTGGATGGGAAAACTGCTGCTGGGCAAGCTCCTGTGTCACATGGGAGGGGGCTTATCTGTCCTTTGGGTTGCATTTGACCATTTCTGAGACTCTCTGAGCTAAGGAAGAAGAAGCAAATTTGGAGAGCAATAAATACTCGATGGATCAATCCAGCTGCCCGTGGTCTTGAGGGCTCCTCTCAGTTCCATGGGGCTCTCAGAGGGATGGGGTGCTCGTTCAGGTCACCTCGGGATCTCTCTCACTCCCGCTCTCTGGTTTACGGATCACTGTGCTGGGATGTGCATCTGTCTGTCTGTCCCTCTGTCCTGCCCACAGGTGCCTCTCTCCATCCCCCTCCATCTCTGTTCCTTTGGGCAGGCAGCAGCCACCTGGCTTGGCTGAAGTGCATCTTTGGGGAGATTCTCCCTGTTTTTCTGACCAGGGGACCTGCAGCAGGAGCAGGGCAGGGGGGATGCAGGGTTTGCCTCCATGTCCCGTGGGTGCCAGCTCCCAGGAGCCCTCCACACCTCCCAGGGGTTTCTCCAGCCAGGCATTTTGGCCAAGGCAGCCCCGTGGTCTGGCAGTGTCCATCTCTTGCTCTAAAATGTGTTTCCATATTTATATGTCCAGGGGATGGGCCTGGTGGCGTCCTCTAAACCCGCGTCTGTTCATTCTGTAAACTAAAGAACTGTAAATAAAGTTTAGCATTCCTATTGTAACAAATTAATTTTTATGCAATAAATTATATTTCCTAGTCTAATAAAAAAAAAAAAAAGGAAACAATCTGATTGCTCGCCTCTCCTGTTCATCACTCACTGGTTCCTGCTGCGTTTGGCATCTGCAGGGACTGGGGATCCCTGTCAGGTCCCTCCAGCCTGCTTTGGGCTCCGCTGCCACGGGCGTGCCAGCAGGAGGGTGCTGCTGTCCAGTCCCCGATGGAAGTGAGCTGGAGATTAACTGATGGTTTGTTTTGGGTGCTTCCAAGGCAGGAGGTGAGAAGCACAGCTGTGGCTCGTGGGCTAAGCCACCCTCTCGAGCAGTTCATTCCCACCCCTGAGGGATATCCTACAAAAGCAATGCCCCTTCCCGAACTGAGGGGATAATTTGGGAAGGGGGAGTGGAGCATGATGCTGCAGCTGCAGGTGGGGCATCCCTGTCCTCCAGCACCCACCTGGCTTCCTCCCCTGCCTGGGGATTGCTGCTGTTTCCCGTCTGACACGGGCCAGGCACTTACCTCAGGTGCTGACAGCAGACTTTGACAAGTGGGAGCTCTGCTCAGGTCATCCCAGAGCCCAGCCAGGCTGCTGCCCAGAGAGTAAAGATGAGGTCTGGGATGTGATTAAGATTGCACTTCATGGCTGTTGCCCAGATTCTGAGGTGACATACCTGGTCAAAACATTACCTCTTTGAGGCTGCAACAAAGAAAAATTAATCCATGGCATGCCTACAGTTCACAGATTGCGTGTTTCATGTTAATGGCGTAATAAACATTTTCATTTTTGTACTAAATACATGATTTGAACTAACACCTGCATTTCAAGTAGCTCCGTGCACTAAAACAAATAGCAAAGATGTGCCAACTAACCTTCCAGACGGCTGGGGGTAATAGGTCTTTTGTCTGGATGAAGTCCCAGCCGGGGAGCAGAGCCAGAAGGGTTTGCAGGGGTGTTCAGGAGCCCGCTGTCCCTGCCCGGGCCACTCACCGGCTCCAGCTCGCCGGACCAGCTGCCACCAGGAGATGGCAACACTGACCCTGCTGCGGGCAGCGGAGGGAATTCCGCGGCAGCGAGGAGAAACGGGACGAAATTGCTGCCCTGCCAGCGCAGCGATCCTGCCGGAGATTCGCTCTCACACCGGAGATTCGCTCTCACACCGGAGATTCGCTATCACACCGGAGATTCGCTATCACCCAGGTACGGGCAGCCTTCCCAGCCGCTTCCCACCCCACGCGGGATGCCGGGGCAGTGGCTCCGCACGAGGGAGAGCCTTCTCCCAGAGAAGGTTTGCTCGGGAGGGGTGTGACAGACAGTCCTGCTCCACCCGTGCCATGGACACTTCCAGGGATGGGGCAGCCACAGCTTCTCTGGGTGACTTGTGCCAGGGCCTCCCCACCCTCACAGGGAAGAATCTCTTCCAAATATCCCGTATGAACCTGCCCTCTTGTCAGCTTAAAGCCATTCTCAATTGTCCCTTTCTTTACATCTCAATTCCTTTAACCTCCACCTCCCACGCTGCTTTCTCTGGGCCCTTTTTGCACCAAACCATCTTTCCAAGGGCCCACATCCATGGATAACTTTGACCAGCCGGTGCCCAGTTCCACCTTCTATTCTCCTGTTGAAACACCCAGTTTGCTGATTCCCCTTAGAATTCAAGCACCCCACATCCCCTGTAGTGGCATGTCACACTATGGCACAAAATAACTCACACACAACGCTAGATGTAAAAGAGGGGGAAAAGAAGTTTATTTCTGACTCTACAATGTATAGAATTCTAAAAGTGACAGTGGATTGGAGGATGAAATTGCCACCTCTCCAACCACACTGGTCAAACCAACAGTCCATCCATTCTCTCCTCCCACAAAGAATGCAAAACAATCATTATTTACATGAACACATGTGTTTCCCCCATAGGAGAAAAAAAAATTCCAACTAGACTATTTTGGGGCTTTCTGCAAAAATTTAAAAAAAAAAAAAAAAAGAAGAAGAGTATTTGGCTTTGATGAAGGGTTGGATGCTGGGGCATGTCCCTGTGTGGCTGCTGAGGAGCCAGACACAGCTTTGGGGAAAGAAACAGGGAAAAGAGAGGTGATGATGTTTTCCTTCACAGTCACACCACACCCTCACAGGTGTGACTGTGGAGTTTGGAGGGAATCCAGGAGTTTGCAGTGGAATTCGTGCTGATGGGGCACTGCAGGAAGCACAGGGAGTACAGGAGGAGCTCGTATCCCACCCTGCAGAAGATGCTCTCCCATTCCCCAGCCTCCCATCTGCAGGAGGTGATGTTTTGGTGACTTCTGATGAAAATCAAGCCTGGGCAAAAGCTTTTCTTACTGCTGTGCGGCAAGCCAGGCTGTGATTAACACTGATCTTCATGGAATCATGGAATGATTTGGGTGAGAAAGAGGGGCCTTTAGGATCATCTTGTTTTTCCCCTGTGCCATGGGCAGGGACACCTTCCAGGGTGCTCAGAGTTCCATCCCGCTTGGGTTTGGACACTTCAGGGATGGAGCGACGACAGCAGCTCTGGGCACCCTGTGCCAGAGCCTCCCCACCCTGCCAGGGAACAATTCCCAATTCTCAGTATCCCGCCCATCCCTGCCCTCTGGCAGTGGGAGCCATTCCCCGGCTCCTGTCCCTCCATCCCTTGTTCCCAGTCCCTCTGCAGCTCTCCTGGAGCCCCTTCAGGCCCTGGCAGGGCTCTGAGCTCTGCCTGGATCTGCTCCTGCCCAGGTGACACCGCCAGCGATCACACAGGCGCTTCCCAGCCCCGGAGCGGCTGCGGGCGTCCCCCGGAGCTCCTTCCCGTGCTGGGGATCGGGCTCGGCTGAGACCCCGCCGGAGCCGGGGCCGGAGCCGGAGCCGGAGCCGGGGCCGGAGCCGGAGCCGGGGCCGGGCGAAATTTGGGGTGGGGGCGTGGCCAACACAGCCTTTTAATGAGGGGTGTGGTCAATCCCGGTGGGGGCGTGACCAATCCCTATGAGGGGCGTGGTCAACCCCTGCGGGGCGTGGCCAATCCCTGCGGGGCGTGTCCAATCCACGCGGGGCGTGTTCAATCCACGCGGGGCGTGTCCAATCCCTGCGGGGCGTGCCCAAGCCGGTGGGGGCGTGTCGCGGAGCCGCTGGGCGTGGCCTCCCCTCCAAAGGCGGGTCTGGGCCCTGAGGCGGCGGCGGGGCCGGGCGGGACCCCCGTAAGTGCTGCGGAGCGGGGAGCGGGGCCGGGCGGAGCGGGGCTCAGCGGGAGGCAGGCAGGCGGGCGGGCGGGCGGGCGGCGCTCCCCATACTCCCCGGTTGCTCGCAAAAACCCGCGGTTTCCGCATTTCCGCCCGGCCCGGCCCCGGCGTGGGCTCGGAGGCGCCCGGCCGCTGTGGGCGCGGTGGCCCCGCGGGCCCCGGCGGGGCTGTGGTAGCTTACAGGCGGTTTGGGAGAGCCCTTTGCACCGCGCTCCGCAGGGCCCGGCCGGCGCTGCTGGGTGCTTTTTGGAGCGTGGCATGATGCTAAGCGAGCTTTCTTACTGTCCGGGGGGACAGGTCAATTATTAATTGCGGGTGGAAATGTGGGTGGCATCTCCGAGTCTCAGTCCCTTTCCCCGTGCCTTCCCACCCCCGGCTAGCTCCTCCGGTGCTTGGCTGGAGATGCCCTGGCACAGCTGCCCAGAGCAGCTGGGGCTGCCCCTGGATCCCTGGAATGTCCCAGGCCCGGGCTGGACGGGGCTGGGAGCAGCCTGGGCTAGTGGCCATGGCAGGGGGTTGCAGTGAGATGGGCTTCGAGGTCCCTTCCAGCCCAAACCCTCCGTGGTTCCGCGGGCTGCCGGGGCCAAAGGGGATGGAGCAGCCCCTGGGATGTGCCAATGGCCCTGTTGTTTTTACTGGGGCCAAAGGGGATGGAGCAGCCCCTGGGATGTGCTAACAGCCCTGTTGTTTTCCCAGCGGGCCAGCAGGATGGTCCCAGCAGCCGGCAGCGCTGCCCCGGAGCAGGAGCCCCTGCTGGAGGATGCCGTGGGCACCGCGTACAGCCGGCAGAAGCCACGGGACCGCTGGCACGGGGCCTACCTCATATTTTTCCTCCTGGGCATCGGGTCCCTCCTGCCCTGGAACTTCTTCATCACGGCCAAACACTACTGGAGGTACAAGCTGCAGAACTGCTCAGATGAGCCTGGCCCGGTGGGGCAGGTGGCCTCAGACCTGCAGGTGAGTGCTGCCGTGGAGGCAGAAAAAATAACCTGGTTTCCCTCCTATCTTGCTCATTTTCCCCCTCCACTTCCCCAGAAGGTAAGTGAACATCCTCTAGGGCCTCCCCTGCCTCAAACCAGATGGAAAGGTTTATTTGCTATTTATTTACAAATAGCTGCAGGAAAGGTGCTTCAGTTAATTTTGTGGTCTGCCTTTTACCTGCATTTGGACTCCTAAGTGTTAAGGTGAATCTAAAAGAATAGGGCTTAACCTTTCACAGGGTAAGTTCTGCAGTGCAAGGCACCACTTTGTGTTGGTCCTTTTTGTGGCAGGTGTGCCGTGAGTACCTCCTTGCAATGATCAACATCTGGCTTTGGCATATGGAGCAAGGAGCTTGTCATGGGGTGATGGATGAGGCAGCCTTGGGGTGGCAGGTTAATGGCCTCTTTCTGTCCCCAGAAAGACTGCTTTCTCTTGTTCCTCCTGCCACAGCAGGATTATTTCCCTGTGGCTCCCTGACAAAGCTCTGGGTTTGTTTCTTTGTGTTTGGCTTTGTGGAAAAAGTGTTGGGGCCATGAGGCTGTATCACATCCTGCTTTTGTGGCAGAGCTTGTTCAGGTGGTTTGGGCACTTTTTGTTTCTATAAAAGCACAAGTCCATATGTGATGCCCATGTTTCTCCTCCGATTTCTCACTCCAGTACACCCACAGCTCTTTTAATTTTCATAGTTGTTAGTGTCAGCTGCTTTTTAGATGGGGAGGAAGGGAAGTGCTTATACCAGGATGCTACAGGTGTGCTGCTGTAAAGCAAGAAACTGAATTAAACTGATGTGTCCAAGCTCCTGCACTGCCTAAAGACCAAAATTATCTGTGTCTGTGCTAGTGAAGGTGCTCCGAGAGGGGTCAAATGAGCTTTGTCACCACGTGGCATGGTGTTCTCTTATTTCCTGCATCCCACATGTTCCTCACAGCTTCTGCATCATGCTGATCCTCTTGAGAACAGCTGGGTTTTAGTAAAGTGTGTTGGAGTAGGTGTTTGCTTGCACAGCTGTACTCCTGGCTGGATCAGCCATTTCTTTGCTGAAAAGGTGTTTCTCCTCTTCCTGTGTGGCTGTGGAACGATGCCTTTTCCTCTCTACGAGGAAATGCTGTTCTGTGGCAGCCGAGTGTGACAGCATCAAACCAGTCAGCCCAGTTTGTGCCCTGCTGCTGCTGCAGGAGGCTTTACCTGCACACAGAGCTGGCCTGTGGAAGGATGCACCTCTGACTGAGAGCCACCTCCTGGCTCCAGCCTTTGCCCTGCTGCTAATTTCATGCCCCGTGCTCAGTAACACTCCAGTGCCTTCAGCCACCTCCACAGACCTGGATTCCTGTTCCAACCTGGCAGGAGCCCTGCTGCCAAGTCCAGACTGGAGCAGAATTGAAGCTGTTTTGCAAAAGCATCTTGTGTTGTATTTGCCAGCAGAATGCTTTGTTTTTGTTTGGGGCTTTCTAAAGCATGGTGGCAGCTTGTTTGTAGGTAACGTGGGGTTAAACACTTCCATTCCCCCATTAGACCTGGATGTGGGAGGAGGATGTCAGGTTTGCTTTGGGGTTTATTTTAAGGGCTCAGCAGAAAGGGAGAAGAGCTAGGTATATCCTGCAGTGCCAGAAATGAAAGCGTATCTGTGAAGGCTGGGAATACCCAGGGAGGGAGAAGAGTTCCCTTTGGAGATGGATTAAAACCCAGCAAGCAGGAGAGGAGTATGGAATCTGATCTTTTCCACTGGTCCAGGCATGGATTAAATTTGCCACCCACCATTCTGCTGCTGCTTTAAAAATGTGGTGCAGGGGCTCTTAAGTACTTGCCCAATTCTCTCCTCACTGCTGGTGTGAGCCCATTTGCTGGGAATGAATGAATATTTCCCTGGGATGCTCAGAACGCAGCATCTCTGCTGGCTTACTTTGAGTACACTTCTGCTTGGTGCAAAGCATTAGAAAGTCATTTTTCCTCCCCAGAAGCAGAAGCAAATTAACTTGGAAGTTTACTGAGTATCCCTCAGGATGGTTTGGAGGTTTGTTTTAAGTAGGTGGTAAATAAGCTGGAGTTTTAGCAGCCAGCTTTACATTTTCCTTTGTCTTTTCTCCTGATTCGTCGTGTGGCCGCAGAGCTTTGAACCTCCTGCTTGGCTGAGCTGATGCCCTAAGCACAGGCATTTAAGTCTCTGCCTATCTGGACCCTCTAGGAGTGATTATTAGGTATCCTGTTGCTTCCAGTGAAGCTCCTGATAGGGAAGAGAAGATGAATGTGCTTGTAAACTGATTAAAAATGATGCAAAGCTGTAAAAAATAATGAGCTGTGCAGAGAAAACCTGCCAGGTGCCTTCTCCTGGTTGGACGTGATGAGACCCCCATCTCTGTAGCTGGATAAGTGCAGAAAATTAAAACCTGTCATGATAGGGGTGGACATGTGGGTCATCCTCCTCTTTGTGTGCATCACCCTACCTGCTGGCTGAGATTGCTGCAGCAAAAGGATGGCATTAAGCCCCTCGAGGGGAGAGGGAACAGACACACTTTGATGGTGCACAGCACCATGGCAGCTATTTCTTTCAGTGTTTATTTTTTTTCCTTCTGTATTTATGTCCCTGATTTCCTGAAGTAGCCCAGGGCTATGGGAGGGCAAATCCCAGAATTCCCATTGCCCTGAGCAATTTGCAACATGGGCTACAACACGAAGTAGACACCTACACTATAACTCCCTGTTGTGTCATATTCAAGACCTGAAATTCATGCCTTGGCTCCCCCTACAATGTTTTTTACTTTGTTTATTTTTTTTTTTTCCTGGCAGGACTATTTTGAGAGTTACATCTCCATTGCTTCCACCGTACCCTCAGTGCTGTGCCTGATTGGAAACTTCTTGCTTGTCAACAAGTAAGTGTTGCTCTGATCCCAAGTGCCTGAGCCACGTTTCTCCCTGGCTTTGCTCCTGTCTTCTTTCCAGCTTCCCAGCACAGGCTGCCCTTCCCTCAGGGGGAGACCGTGGGGAATCCTGAGCTTCCCTGTGCAGTCAAAATTCCCCCCGTTGCCCCTGCCCGAGTTGCAGCCGGCTGAGATGAAGTGGGAGAAGCGCCTTGCTCCACAAGTGCCTGCAGTTAGCTTGAGTAAATAAATTCCTAATGAATTCCTTGGTTAATTGCTTGGTAAGGGTCTTCCCTCTTAAAAATACCTTTATTGTCATCAGGGGACTGGTTGACAAAAGCCAGGCTCACCCAGGTAGAGGCCTTACCAGCCCTTAAACTGGGATAAGAAATGGACCCAGCTGCACCTTGTTGCAAGCTTGGCCTTGCAAATCTCAAACAGCCTCCTGCCTTCATCTCTACCCTTCCTTATCCCACATCAAACTCCTGTACACTTGCAGGCGTGGGTTTGCATGGCTGATCTCCAGATTCCTGCTCCCTTGCCTCACTGCTTCCTCCTCTCCTTCCACCTCTCTTTATTTTCTTTGCCCCCTCTGCCAGCACAGGAGCTGCCCTCCCGTGCTGAACCTTCACGGTGTGGTTTGAAAAGCAGGAGTGACCTCTACCCCTTGTCCCAGGGTCGCTGCCAGGGTGCGGATCCTGTCGTCCCTCTTTGTCATGCTGGCTGTGTTCCTGGTGATCACGGTGCTGGTGAAGGTGGACACCTCCACCTGGACCACGCCCTTCTTCGCCCTCACGGTCGGCTGCGTGGCCGTGGTCAGCAGTGCCTCCACCGTCTTCTCCAGCAGCATCTTTGGCCTCAGCAGCTGCTTCCCCATGAGGAACCTGCAGGCTCTGCTCTCAGGTTGGCTGATCCCACTGGACTTTCCCATCTTGGACTTTCCCTGCTCGTCTCCATGGTTTTCTCTGGGGTTTGTGTCATGTGGAGTTTGTTTTAGAAGCTTAACTTTGCCCTCATGGTAAAGGGAAGTTGCTGAAGGAGAAACTTGCTGGATCACATGAGCTTTGGTTTCTGTAAATAGCCGTACACTGACCCTGGAGAGCTGCTGGGTGCAGGGGGGGAAGGAGATGGCATCCCCCTGCCCTGCCGTTTCCAGCAGAGGCATCTGCAGCTCTGCCTGTCTGCTCCTTTCTGATCGGCATTTCCATGAGTGATGAGGGGCAGGTTGGGAGCTGTGAGTGATGAGCTCCCTGGAGCATTGATCACATTATAAATGTGCTGTGGAATGGTTGACAAACCAAGAGGAGAAGTAGGGGGGGAAAATCAGGATGGTGAAATTTTTCCTGGGGCCAAGACAGGAGTGTTTTTAATGAGTTGATCTCAGAGAAGGAAAGCACCACATCCCTGAGATGGCATTCCTGCCGCTGGTGCCTTGAATCCCCATCTGGGGGAGCGCAGTGGAGAGTTGGATTATGTGTGCTGGTGGAAAGCCAAGTTTAGGCTTTGGAAAAGGTTTGGACTTTTCCTGCAGGACTGGGGAGCTGCAAGCCCAGCAGAAGGACTGGAGAGCAGTGTGTGCTGTGCTGTGTTAGAAGGGGGTGCAGGATGGCACCTGGGCTGTGGTGCAGCCCCACAAGCACCTGAGGCGCGGAAATGGAGAGGAGGTTGTGTGTGCAGCTGCACCCTGAGCCGGGTGTGGGGCAGTGTTCCCTGGAGATCTGTGCATGTCAGAAGAGGAGCTTCTGGGTTCCTCCTTGTTCTCTGTCCCTCACTGTGCCCACCTCTGCTGCCACACGCAGGGCAGGCCATGGGTGGCACCGTCAGCGCCGTGGCCTCCGTGATCGACCTGGCAGCGGCGGCCGATGTCACCGACAGCGCCCTGGCCTACTTCCTCACCGCCGACATCTTCATCGTCATCTGCATCATGGTGTACCTGCTCCTGCCCAGGCTGGAGTACTCCAGGTGTGTGCCAGCCTGCTGGGGCGTCCCACAGAGGGTTTGCAGCGGCATTGCTGGGGGATCCACGGGACACTCGCCGTGCTGGTCCTGCCCCGTCACTGCTGCAGCTGTGCTTCCCCTTTCACCAAAACCACAGGGTGAAACTGTGTTTCAGTCAGGGCTTTCTGCCAAGCTTTCCCAGGGCCTCTGATGCCGGCACTCCCAAAAATGTGTGGAGTCAGCAGAGAGCCCTAACCCGGAGGCAGCCAGCCAAGAATGTCCCCATATCCTGTCTGCCACTTGGATGTGTGTGACCCATGGGTCTGGTTGGTGCTTGTAGCCCCCAGAGCCCCCAGGTGCCTGCAGACAGTAGGGTCTCCTCTGTGAGCACTGAGGGTGCAGAGAGGGGAGAGTGGATGTGCAGGGGTCACCTCTCTGTACGAGGTGGGAGCTGCAGGTGCGCTGGATTTGCTGGGTCCAGCGGGCATACCTGTGTCTCCAACTTCTCTCCTGCCCTCTCTCCAAATCTCAGCTGCTTTCCCTCATGCTTCCCTCTGTCTCTTTTTCCAGGTATTACCTGAGCAGCCAGAAGGAGAGCCCCTCTCTGGTCACCGTGCCCCCCAACAGCTCCATGGAGGACGAGGCAGAGGCAGGAGGCACCGTGAACTCCTACCTCCTCCCAAGAAGTGCTGGCATCCCCCCACTCCGCCCCATCCTGCACAAGACCGCCCTCCTTGGCTTCTGCCTCTTCTACGTCTTCTTCATCTCCATCGCCATCTTCCCTTCCCTCTCCTCCAACATCGAGTCTGTCAGCAAATCCTCGGGAAGCCCATGGAGCACCAGGTACTTCACACCACTCACCTGTTTCCTCCTGTACAACTTTGCTGACTGGTGTGGGAGGCAAGTCACTGCCTGGATCCAGGTGCCTGGCCCCAAGAGCAAGCTGCTGCCTGTCCTCGTCCTCCTCAGAACCATCTTCCTCCCTCTCTTCATCCTCAGCAACTACCAGCCCCGGGCTCACATCCGGACCGTGGTGTTCAACAGGGACATCTACCCCGTGGTGTTCACGGCGCTGCTGGGGCTCAGCAACGGCTACCTGGGCACGCTGGTCATGGTCTACGGCCCCAAAATCATGCCCAAAGAGCTGGCTGAGGCAGCAGGGGTGGTGATGTCGTTCTACCTCGTGCTGGGGCTGGCTCTGGGCTCTGCCTGTGCCGTTTTCGTGGTGCACCTCGTGTAGAGGGGCAGCCTCAGGAGGAGGAGGCCCTCGGTTTGTGGTGCTGCTGTTGAGCATTTAGGGTTTGGGGCTTTTTCCCAAAAAAGCCAGGTGTCCTCTGGTTTTGAGGCAGCCTGCCTGTCTTAGGAGGGGGGTAGCTGCATCCAGGGGGCATGCAGAGGGAAAGTCTCCCTTCTGGGAAGGGGCATCCCCTGTGCTTGGGAAGGTTCTGTCAGACATTGTTGCTCCCCAGTTGAATGGAGCAGGGACCAAAACAGCCTCATCCTCCCCAGGGAGCTCAGGGAAGCACCAGGGACACAGGGATACCATCCCTTACCCGTGTGCCAGTGGTTTTAAGCTGAACCCAGGGCTTTTGGGGGCACCTTGGGTTTTTCTGCTGCACTGTTAGAAGTTCAGCCCATCAGGGGTTGGGTGGTCTTAGGGAGGGTTCACCCCTCACTGGGCTGTGATGGTGGTGTTGGACTAAAAGGGATTTGAGCCCTGGAGCACCTTCTCACAACTTAGGGAATGAGCAGCAGCTGTCCCAGGGATTGGGGAACAGCTTTGCACAGATTTCATACAATCATTGCACAAAAAAAAAAAAAAATTATACGTACATAAGGGAAACGGCTCCACTTGGAATCTTGCTTGCTTTGATTTTTCCATGTGAGGTTGAACTGAGGGATCATCTACCTCCTAGCATGGTGCCACTAGTGTTGGGGACTATTGCCTGGCCCAGCTGAGAAGAACATTTTTCCTGCTGTGACTGTGGTGTGACCCCCAAGGAAAGTGAAATGCTGAGTGGGCCTAACCTGAGGTTTTTCTTCAGTCTCTATTCAGAGAGCTCTGTGCAAGCCAGGGAGAGGTACGAGAGAGGCCCTGGTGTGAGTTTCACAGCAGAAATCTGGTTAATTCATGTAGACAGGCACCATATGGCCTCCAGATGTTTTCGGAGGGGTAAGCTACTGTGACACCCAAAAATATGGCCCACCCAAAGACAACTGGCTTTTAAAGTCATTTAAACTCCCATATGCCAGCACAGACTGGCCTAAATCCGATTATTGTATTTATTTTCTCAAATTGGCTGGATTTATGGTCTAGAAGAAGAGGTGAGCTGATCAGCATGGGTGTAAAGGCAGAGCTTGGCAGTGCATGACACCTCGGAGATGCTGTCTGTGGAAACTGATTCCTTTGAGACTGGGTTAGGAGCAGATGCTCCATTACTGGGATTCTCTCAGCACCTCCTGCTTGCCCTCATAGCAGTGGAGCTGCTGGATGTGGGGAGAGCAGCAGGATCCATGGTGGTCACTGCCCTGGGGTGCCACGTGGGTGTGGTGGACATTGGGTTTTTACAGAAATCCTTTCCTAAAGCAGTGTTTACTTTGGGCCCCTTGGCAATACACACAGAGTTTTGATTGATGGCTGATTTTTATTTCAATGTAAAATCCAGACACAAGTGGAAAATGTGTGGGGTGTGCAGTAGTGAGGAGCAGCTTTATGGAATGTGTGGGCTCTTAATCCCTACCTTTGGTGGGTTTGGAGCCCTTTGGCCTCCAGCACTTGGCCAGGGACTGCCTTGACCCAGGTGAAGGCCCACCCAAGGGCTGCGGGTCAGGATGCTGGGAGCCCCTCCTGGGGGCCAGTGTTCCCATCCCCTCCCTGGTGCTGGAATAATGCAGCACTTGGTCAAAAAGCCCAACCCAGCCTGGTGCTGGCAACCAAAAAGTCCCTTTGTGGCCTTCAGTGAACCTGTCTTCAACCTGTGCATTTCCCTCCCAATCCAAGGAATGATGAGATTTGGCTTGGTTTTTTACTGCTTTGCGTCTCCTCTGCTCCTCTCCTTGTCACAGACCAAATTCCTCTGGAGGAAGAACTTAATTATTTGGTACGGTTGCTAATAAAGAGAATTCTTGATCCTGTGCAACTGCTGGTGTCTGGAATAATTTCTCTTGGAGGTGCACTGATGCATGCAGTTTCAGCTTGCATTTTTCCTTCTGGTCATCCTTCTCTCCCAGCTTGGATTGTAAACTCAGAGGAATCCCTGGCAAGGGCTGGGTGAAGGAGCCTGCTTTGAGGGCACAGCTTTTCCACTGGAATGTCCCCAGATGACATGCAAGTAGGTGTGGAGAGCATTCCTGTGGCAGGGGGGAGTGAGCAAAAAGGGGATTTATCCTTTGCTTTTGGTGGCATGCAGCTAAGGAAGGTTTAATAAATGTGGAGAAAAATCAGTGCAGATGCAAATTGGGCAAGAACCAGGTCTGGGCATAAAGCAGGGAATGCTGGTGGGAATGCCATGATACAGGGGTGGAGGTTGCCAGTTCTGAGCCATGAGCTGTGGGTGATCCCTGCAAAAGGGGAGGCATAATTTATAGGGAATTGCACAGAACAGCAGGGAAGTAATTGCAGTGCCTGGGAGAAGCCACATCTGCTGCTCGGTGTGGGCCGTGCCGAGGAGCTCAAGGTGAGGGAAATGGTGGTGGAGTGCTGGAATGAGGCTGCTGGATCTGGGGTAAAATAAAAGTGCAGCTACAGCTTGTGCCTGGCTGGGTTAGGTTGCTGTCCCTGCCCATGGCAAGCAGGGTGATCATCACAGTCCCTTCCAACCCAAACTTACTCCGTGATCCTGTGATAAATGCATCTTTGACAACAAAAGCAGCCGTGGGCCCCAGTTCCAAGGCCTGGAATGATGCTCTAGCCAGGAGGAGCACTGCAGGGATCCAAACCTACTTCCTGACATTTAGCTGGGAGATTACACTGCCTTCAGTTCTCAGAGCTTTACAAGAGGCACCCCAGAGCTGCGGTACCTGAGTTCCAGAGAGAGACCCTGGCTGTGGGTAGGGCTGGAGCTGAGCTGGGTCCCTGTGTCTCCCTCACCTGCCTAGAAATGCACTCCCAGGCTGTTTCTGTGAGCCCCACCATCCCCTCAGCCAGCAGGGCTCTTTCCCATCTCCCAGCCCATGAGGGCAGGTGCTGATCTGCTGGCACGGGAAGGACCACATGCTTTCCACAGGGAAACAGCCCCCTCTTACCTGGGGGAGTGGAACCAGCCATGCAGGCATTGCAGAATTCCTGGGGTGAGCCCAGGATGTGAAACAGAGTCCACAAATCCCTGTTTGGTGCCCAGCAGTGCTGGCACTGTGACCCAGAGTTTGGAGAGTCCCAGGCCTGGCAGCCCAGCACAGAGGCGTTGCTGTGCCTTTTCCAGCAGCCTTTGGAGTTCAATCCAACTGGCTGAGGGGGAAAGCAAGCTGGGAGCTGGCAAAGCAGCAGCAGCAAGGGCAGCAGGATGCAGGAGAGGAGCAAGGGATGAAAGGGCACAAAGTGAAGGAGACGCATCTGCTGCAGCTTCTGCTCAAAGGAGACCAGCTGAGCCCATGCCTGACCTGGTTTTGTCCCCTCTGCCCTCTGTGCTGCCAGCTCCCCCTCCCTGCTGCAGAGCTGGACCAGGTTAAGTGTTGGTACTGGGGGCTTTGAAGCGAACAAACGTGCTGGAGGAGGCGAGGGGATTTTTGTTATGGAGCTATCTACTTTGTTAGGTGAGCTATATCATGTCAGCCGTGAGTGGCTTTCTCAAAGCCTTGCCCAGGCTGTCCTGCCTCAGTGGAGTGCCCCCAGGTAGGAATGGGCCCCCTTCTCCATCTGTGCCACCAGCCTTTGCTGGCAGAGCCTTTGGTGCAGCGCTGTGACCCCGGGGAGGTGGGAACCACCTCTGAAACCACCTCATTATCCTTCAGCAACACTTTGGTGGTGGCCAAAGAGTAGCAGGAGCAGGATGGTCTTTGAGGCCCCTTCCAGCCCAAACCATTGTGCGATGCCACAAAACACAAGTGGCCACTGGGGCTTGGGAAGGGCCAGCAGCCTCAGCAGCTGAGCTGAGCTGATCCTGCCCCTCCACGGGTGCCCCAGAGGAAAAACACAAACCTTGGCTTTGAAACCTCGCCAGCCAGCTGCAGGCTTGCCCGGCTGCTGTTCTCCTTTTACGTGTTTTATGGAGTAATTTGTACTATATTTACACAGCAGTGATAAACAGTTTTTAAAATGGAAGCAAAGAAAATGCTGCTGGATGAATTGTTACAAAAAAGCCCTGTTTGCCATTCCAGCAGGGGGAAAAAAGGGGATAAAAATCACCATCCTAGGGACATGCTGTTCATCAGATCTGGGTATTTTTTCCCTTGATTTGTGTGCCTAATGTGAGCAGAAGAAGTCGCAGATGCATGCTGAATTCTGCAGGGAACATATGCATGCATTTAAATCATTTACAGCATTTACTGGTGCAATTGTAAAGCACATTATTTTTCTGCATTTGTAATTAGGCTCCAAACAGATGGTGAAGGACTGTAGCTCCTGATTAGACAGCCTTGTGCTCTGTTGGACGGCGCTGTGAGAGAAAACTGAGATGAGAAACTTTTCCTTCTAATTTATCACGCCAGGGCGGGGGAGTGCAGGAGCTGGGGTTGCCTGAGCGAGAGCTCCTGGAGCAGGCTGGGCAGGGCTGGGCGAGCCATCCCTCTGCCATCCCCCTGCTGATGGATGGGGCACCGGGCCCCCTGCCCAGCTCCTTTTCCATCCCGGATTTTCTGGCCCTGCCTTGCCGCAAGGCTCAGGACACCCGGCAGGGTGGGATGGAGCTGCCGTGACAAATGGCTCGGGAATAAGCAGGAGCTGGGAGGTGAGAAGGGTTTTTACAGCAGGAGTGAGCTCCAGGCTTGTGGCTGTGTTGGAGGAGTGATGCCACCTGCCTGGCCTGGGGGGAGCTTTCCTCCTCTCCTGGGGGCAGCCTTGAACCTTGAACAGCACCACGGGCTCTGCACTGCCTCCTCCTCATGCCTCATATTTTAGAGTTTGTATTTTTCAGATTCTGTGCTGCTTTAGTGTGTGGGTCTGAGCTCCATATCAGGGGATGCTGAGCTCTCTGCACAGAGCAGGGAGACAAAACAATTCCTTCTCCAGCTGGGGACCAAGCACAAATGATCCAAATCTCAGCCCAGAAGCACAAACACCATGGGCTGGAGAGAGAAAAACAA